ACATTACAGCTAGTGCAACCTTTTAATAACAACGTTACAGCTAGTGCAACCCTAATGAGAACATTACAGCTAGTGCAACCTTTTAATAACAACGTTACAGCTAGTGCAACCCTAATGAGAACATTACAGCTAGTGCAACCTTTTAATAACAACGTTACAGCTAGTGCAACCTTTTAATAACAACATTACGGCTAGTGCAACTTATTAATGACAAAGCTACAGCTAGTGCAACCCCTTAATGACAACATTACAGCTAGTGCAACACCTTCTCTGTGCTACTAAATCAGGTAGTTTTTTGTTGTTATAAGCGAATGCCTTTGTTTTAACATGCTATCTTTGGGTTTAATTTAGATGACCAAACCTAATAGTTATCGTTATAACTCATTAAGAACTTTTGTAGCGACAACTCGGTAAACCTAATAGTTATAGTTATAACTCATTAAGAACTTCTGTTACGGCAATTCGGTAAACCTAATAGTTATAGTTATAACTCGTTAAGAACTTCTGTTACGGCAACTCTGTAAAACTAATAGTTATAGGTATAACTCATTAAGAACTTTTGTAGAGACAACTCGGTAAACCTAATAGTTATAGTTATAACTCGTTAAGAACTTCTGTTACGGCAACTCTGTAAACCTACTTTACAGAGTTGCCGTAACAGAAGTTCTTAACGAGTTATAACTATAACTATTAGGTTTACAGAGTTGCCGTAACAGAAGTTCTTAACGAGTTATAACTATAACTATTAGGTTTACAGAGTTGCCGTAACAGAAGTTCTTAACGAGTTATAACTATAACTATTAGGTTTACCGAGTTGTCGCTACAAAAGTTCTTAATGAGTTATAACTATAACTATTAGGTTTACAGAGTTGTCTTTACAGAAATTCTTAATGAGTTATAACTATAACTATTAGGTTTACCGAGTTGTCGCTACAAAAGTTCTTAATGAGTTATAACTATAACTATCTAACAGAAACACCTTACAGATATTTAATATCCTTGTAAGGGCCAATGACGAACGGAGCCAACGTATAAAAGCGTCTTTTTGATTCACTAGCTGTGACCTGAAGTCAGTTTAGTTAGATCTGCTAGAAATATAACTTTATTTCTGTAACGATAACTCAGTAAACATGGTAAAAATACGTTGTAATAATAATTCATTAAAAACCTTAGATTTATTTCATCTGGTTGAATAACTTATAATGTTTTTTCTTCATGTTATTTTACTCACCGAAATCCGTGCCCACATACTGATAGATGAAGCAAAGAAGAAGATTTGGCACTAATATATTAAAATCTTTTTGAAAATTTTCATCGTTTTCTTACCTCTAAAAGTACCTTATCTTGAGGGAAATACGCGTTTCTCAAACGAATATAGCATTTCATTTGAAATTTAGACGTTGTTACTCGGTCTGATGAATTCCGATGTGCAGTCAAGTTTCGTCGAATACCAATCGATAACAGTAATGTTATAAAAGATTTCCAACATCTTACTATGACACTACTGTTACGAACAAGTGCCCTACATCTTACTATGACACTACTGTTACGAACAAGTACCCTACATCTTACTATGACACTACTGTTACGAACAAGTGCCATGCATCATATTATGACATTACTGTTACGAACAAGTGCCATACATCATATTATGACACTACTGTTACGAACAAGTACCCTACATCATATTATGACACTACTGTTACGAACAAGTGCCCTACATCATATTGTGACACTACTGTTACGAATAACTGCCCTACATCATATATTATGACACTACTGCTACGAACAAGTGCTCTACATCATATTATGACACTATTGTTACAAACAAGTACCCTACATCATATTGTGAAACTGCTGCTACGAAAAAGTGCCCTACATCATATTATGACACTACTGTTACGAAAAAGTGCTCTACACCATATTATAACACTACTGTTACGAACAAGTACCCTACATCTTACTATGACACTACTGTTACGAACAAGTGCCCTACATCTTACTATGACACTACTGTTACGAACAAGTGCCATACATCATATTATGACACTACTGTTACGAACAAGTGCTCTACATCATATTGTGACACTACTATTACGAAAAAGTGCCCTACATCATATTATGACACTACTGTTACGAAAAAGTGCTCTACATCATATTATAACACTACTGTTACGAACAAGTACCATACACCACATTATGACACCGCTGTTACGAACAAGTACCTTACATCATATTATGACACTGCTGTTACGAATAAGTGCCCTACATCATATTATGACACTAGTGTTAAGAACAACTTTCCTGCATCATACATCGACACTAATATTATGAGAAAGTGTCCTATCTACCTAACATCATGACACTTCTGTTATGATGTAATTTTATTACTAGAATTCCATAATGTCACGTGGGTATAAATAAACCTAAATTTCACGTTAGCCTAAATGATGATTGAAAAAAAAATGAAAACATTCTAGGATTTAATCTTACTTAGATCGAAACGTTTACTTATATTTCCACTCTTAAGGTAACATTTCGCTATAATTTGTATTATATTAGAAATATTATTTCTTAAGCTTCTTCAATACGTGTTAAATAAACTGAGTGTGTAATGCAAAATTTATTATTCTCAATTTTGTTTGTTTCACATGGGTCTAAAGGAGGATACGAAAATGGTCAAACTTAAAACAATATTCTAAAAACATCAACGTATTACCAAGGAATTGTCATAAAATGATTTAAAAATAAGTGAAAAGTATTACCTTTATATAAAGTACGTTTATATAAACTTCCGAGTACAATATATTTAAACGATTTGAATCCCCAACAGTTTGACAATAACCCTGTAGTATATTTTATATTGTGAAAAGCTCACCCTTCTTCCTGTATGCTTTCCATATTCCATCTAATGTAGGAAGACAACGGTTTTCTAGCGCTCGTGTCATTACTCTGAATACACCGAAATTCATAAGTGCTACGTTTGGTGACTTGACCGGTATGTCTTTCATAAGTGCTACGTTCGTTTACTTGACCGGTATGTCTTTTTATGACGTTGCATAAATATCTCTTCCATTATCCAGCTGCTTGAGGTTTGGCGGTTGAATGAATATGTTGTAGAAGCAATTTGTCTAAACGTGACTTGTTACGCTTTTCCAGATGGAGGTTCCTCTTGATTATGTTGCATAATATTGCCTCGGCCATATGGATGGCTTTTGCCACTGACTTTTGTGTTCTTAGATATTAAAAAACGCAGCACCTGACTTCCCACAGCTGAGTTTATGAATATACAAGCTATCAATGTTCGGTGTCATTAGACTACTAACGAAAAAATGTAGTTCTGATACATTACATTTCACCGATTTAATATAACATACCTAACCCTAGGCATGAAGGGCAGATTTTTATTTTTTCTCTCTATCTTTATTGTATAGGTCCAGACTTTCTACTTCACCCTTTCAGGAAACCAAAGAGAATCCGAACAGCATTCTCTCCTTCCCAACTTTTGAAGTTAGAACATGCTTTTGAAAAGAACCATTACGTCGTAGGAACTGAGAGAAAACAACTAGCCCAAATTCTCAGTCTCACGGAAACTCAGGTGAGTTGCCAGTTTTGCCTTAGAAACCCAAGTGAGTCTTCGCTACTCATGTCACAAGTTAATTACTGCGTCAATACATTATTCATTGAAACGCATGCATACAACGCAACAGAATCATTCGATTGCTCGTAGAAATTTAAGTGAGTCAGAGGGATTAGCAGTGTAAATGAAATGAGATGGTAAATTACACATAAAATGTTGAAATTAATCATGTGTGTTACTCTAAAAACACTGTGAGACACAAGATTACTCTCGAATAACGCAATCACAGCATGACTAATAGAAATTTAAGTGAGTCACAGCTTGACTAACTGAAACTTAAATGAGTCATAGCCAGCCTAAAAAAATTCAAATGAGTCACAGCATGACTAACAGTGAGTCAAACCCGGATTAACAACAATTCAAATTAATCACGGCCTGTGTAACAGAAACTCAATTAAGTCAGCTAGTGTAACAGGAATTTAACTAAGTCACGGCCTGTATAACAGAAACTCAAATCAGTCACAGCTTATATGAGAGAAACGCAATTGAGTCACAACTTGATTAACAAAAATTGAATTAACTGACTAAATGAAGGTGAATCACAGCTGAAAATAAACTTAATTGAGTCACTACCTATCTAAGAGAAACAAATGTGAGTCACAATCTGTCTAATAAAACTGACAGGCGTGATTATTTAACAGAAACGTATTTAACTATCAGTTTAGTCTAAGTTAGTCAATGGCTTAGTTTAAGCTACAAGGGTGAGACGCAGCATGCCCACTGGTACTAGAAGTGTGATTAGTTTTAACCCAGGTGAGACAATGCTTTAGTTTAAGATGCTGATGTCTTATAAGATGTGATTTATATTCCAGATGACACTCTGGTTTAACTGACGATATTCAGGATATTTATTATAACTCATTTCGGATACTGGTTGAGCTAGTTACTGGTGAAACACGGTGATCTAACTGATCACCAGTGAATATCCAACTCTAATGCTTGGTGTTAATATTATCATTATTCTCTATAGTGTGAATAAGTAATTTCATAACCAGACATTGATGCCAACTTGAAGTTCAAGTAGATAAGTCCTACAAATGATAAACACACTCAGAATCTAAAATACATTGACAAACACACTAATACACATATCTCAACTTTGAAAATTAGATAAAATAATGCAAGTGTAATTAAGACATAAATACATTTCTAAACTCAAAATATAAAGTTAAAACACTACGCACGAATAGATAATTCAACTTAGAATATAAAGATAAATAGTGACAACTCTGACAAACTGTAATATACTTTGTAACGTAATACTGTCATAAGTGTCTTCTGTACAGTGTGTAGTGTCAAAGCAATGTTTATTGTGTACAGTGTGTAGCGTCAAATCAATGTTGACAGTCTCGTAATAAAGGTTTTAGATTATGTACTTAAAATCGTTGATTGTTTGAATGCTCTAATGATCTGAGTTAATGTTAACCTCCTCAGCCTTGTACAGTGGTCTGACTATTGTAGTTAACCACCTACTACAGTGATCTGAAGTACCTGTAGTTTAACAATCTCGTTTGCCTAATAAAGTGATTTGTCAAAAACAACATAATTCCAAATTTGATATATCGGGTGACGTAAGACAAGATTTGTCGAAACTCGAGTGAAGTCCAACATCCCCAAACTTAGATATAAATTCTAAAGTAAAACCTAAAATGCTGTCTTTTTCTTTCTTGAAAATTTAGTTGAGACTTGACAGACCGTTAAACATGAGACCCACTTAAGCTAAACGCCAATAGAAAGCTCAGTATTCCAAGATCGTGGAGGATTAAACGCTGAATTTTCACATTATATTATCATGATATTCCGACATTTTAAAGAAACGTAGACGATAATTCGAGAATACGTAGTTTCGAAACACGCAGTGTCTTCTCGAAATCTTTAAAAATGTGACTATGAATGTCACGTTTTCGTGCTTCGTGATCGACTATTGTATTTATAGACAAACCAGGTTCTAGAATCTGGAATAATTTGTACTAATTAGTTCAGTTTATTAAAGGCAAGAGCAATGTTATGGTGGGTTATTTAAAAAAAGAATTTTGTAAGTTTCCAGTTTGTTTTTTGTAGTTAAGCACAAACTTACACAATTGGCTATCGGGTATCGAAACACAGTTTTTAGCGTTATAAGTCCGCAGGCATTCCGCTGAGACAATGGGGAGGATATATTTTGAAACAACTTTATAGAAATAATTTACTTGGATAACGTTTCCACTGCCCCTGTATATTAAGGTTGTTGCTAATTCCTGGATTTTAGTCTATGTTGCCCTGTTTGTTAAAGTTGTCATTAATTCTGTTGATTTGAGTTTATGCTGCTCTGTTTGTTAAAGCTGTCATTAATTAATTCTGTATATTTGAGTTTATGCTGCTCTGTTTGTTAAAGTTGTCATTGATTTTGTTGATTTGAGTTTATGCTGCTCTGTTTGTTAAAGCTGTCATTAATTAATCCTGTATATTTGAGTTTATGCTGCTCTGTTTGTTAAAGTTGTCATTAATTCTGTTGATTTGAGTTTATGTTGCCTTATTTGTTAAAGTTGTCATTAATTCTGTTGATTTGAGTCTATGCTGCTCTGTTTGTTAAAATTGTCATTAATTCTGTGTATTTGGTTCTATGTTGCTCTGTTTGTTAAAGTTGTCATTAATTCTGTGTATTTGGTTCTATGTTGCCCTGTTTTAAAGTTGTCATTATTTCTGTTGATTTTAGTTTATGCTGTCCTGTTTGTTAAAGTTGTCATTAATTCCGTTGATTTGGATTTATACTGCCCTTTTTGTTAAAGTTGTCATTATTTCTGTTGATTTGAGTCTATGCTGTCCTGTTTGTTAAAGTTGTCATTAATTCCGTTGATTTGGATTTATACTGCCCTTTTTGTTAAAGTTGTCATTAATTCTGTTGATTTGAGTCTATGCTGCTCTGTTTGTTAAAGTTGCTATTAATTTCGTGGATTTTATTATACTAACCCTGTTAGTTTTAGTTTGCACTGTTCCGTGTGTTAAAAGTTCCTTTACTTCTTTAAGTTTGAGTTTACATCGCCACTGTATATTAAACGTAACAAGCAGTCATAACTAAACAGATCCCAGCTTAACGTAGTCGTAATTTTAAAATAGATCGTTCTTTACTGAGGAATTAATACCTTTAGCCTCAAAGTTTTGATCTAAACCGTTGGAACTAAGATTCGTCTGTTTTTTTTTATTTATCCTATTCTTTAAGATTATCCGAGCCTAGATAATTATTGTGATGCAGTAATCAATAATCTATTTAAGTAATTTAAGATAGATCTCTTTCTATGGTATATTAGTTGGGTTTCTGAGTTCGTGTAGAAATACTATTAGTAACTTGTCAATTTCTGCTTTGAAACAGACACACTCCATGAGACATTTAGGCTCGAAACGTGAGAACTGTAAGTATCAGTTAGAATGTAGTTGTGTAGGGTGTGTGTGCCTTAGCTCCGGTCTTTCTTGCTGGTCGGCAGGTTCACGCCACAGCACCGACAACGCGGGTGGGCCAAACTCACTTTATCTGTCCACAACGCTATCGTGGTCAGAAAAACATCATATGAAAATAAGATCTGGATCATAGTTAAACGTTTATTGGCTGTAGTCTGATCCTTAACGAACGATCGCACCGCCTAGGGCCTTGAAAACGCTGTAGGTTTGATACTATCGCTTACATTGACGGTTGTCAATTGTAATCTTAGCCTCAATGTTGATGGTGGGGAAGGGCCTTCTTAGAGATCACGAGCCAAAAAAAAATATATACGCTTTGGTATGTGTGGAACATTTTTTTTAAAGGCCGAAGAGTCGAGTCCACCCTTGTTTTGATTTTTCCTGTGATCCATGAAATTTAAAGTTTGAATCAACCTGTCTTTAACAAAGAAAGGGGTTAAAATTTACAACCCGTTATCTTGCTATTTCGTTATACAAGGCTTGTGTTATCCCATTGCAGGTGGCATTCCCAGTGTTGCAACTGGCAGCACCATTGATGTTTTATTTACAATACCACGACAACAGCAAGGTTACCGAATACAGAGGGTGGGCTGTCTGTCCGTTGTTGTTATTCTTAGTGACAGAGTTCATACATGTTGCTGCAATAGAAATAAAGACTGGTTAGAGGATTGGGAGACCAAAGCTGGTCAAATGCTCTGTGTGTAGAAAAACTGTTTCTTGGACATATAACTGGACTATTTTCGCTTTTATTTCTAACATAATTAGTTATATAATCCGAAGATAGCTTCCTTGTTTTCGTACTAAGCACAAGGTTACTGAATGGGTTCTCTGTGACGTGTCCGCTGCAAAGATCGAGCCCCAAATCTTAGTTCATTAAATATTATCAGGCTAACATAATTAGTTATATAACCCCGAAGATAGCCTATATATATATATTGATATTAAGCACAGATTGCAGAAAGGGATTGAACCCAAAAGTTTAGTGTCACAAGCTCTCGAGATTATTGCCGAGCAATGGAGAAGGAGGAAGGATACCATAGTTAAAATTAAATAACTAAAAGTACAACCTAGAATTATTATCGTTAGTGACATGGTTGCTGAGACAGTGAAATGGAAAGTACTGAAAAATCGTACGGTCGTAATTTATTTCATAGATATAGTCTACCTATCTATCTATGTTATAATATTATACTCAGTCATGAAATATAAACCGGTAAAAGAAGACATTGTTTTAACGTCTAAATATTAACTGTTAATTTATGGATCCGTTTGTTAGAATGATAACTTGTTTGTTGAATTTCGTGCAAATTTATTCGAGCATTATTTACGAGAGTCGTCACTAAATTTAAAGTGATAGACTAGAGGGAAGGCAATAAGTCAATACCACCCACCGCTAACTCTTGGGCTACTTTTCACCAACGGGTTTGACAGTTACATTATAACTCCCGTACGGCTGCAAGGGCGAGAATGTTCGGCGACGGGTTTCCATACCGTGACCCCCTGATTGAGAGTCGAACTCCCTAACTACCAGTTAAAACAATTGTAAAATCTAAAGATGTTATCTGAGTATTGTCGTTCTGTTGGTATAAACATGATTTTTAAACAATCATTGCTCTTCTATTAATGTAAACAATTTACCTGCTTAATCTAGTCCACACCGAAACAGTTGTTGTTCATGTAATTGGTGATCTAAGCCACTACTGTGTCTGTCTGTCGTATCCCAACATGCCTGATGAGCCCTGGTACTGGGCAAAAGGCCACGTCAGGACTGGATATGGTTGATAAATTGTTATATATTCTTCTTTGTTTTCACTCAAGTTCTTAGAATTTGTGATATAAATATTATCCCTTCCTTATTGTTGTTGTTCTATTTATATACATTAGTCTGTCGCTATTTTTCTCTTATTGATATAAACATTATTATTTAGCTACTATTGTTATTTATATTTTAGCTATTGTTTTTTCTATTTATAGAAACAATATTCTTTGCTGTTGTAATTTATATTTTAACTATTATTGTTGTTGTTGTATTGATATAAACAATATTATTTAACTACTATTATTATTATTTATATTTTAACTAACGTTGTTGTTGTTGTATTGATATAAACAATATTCTTTAACTAATATTATTATTATTTATATTTTAACCAATGTTGTTGTTGTATTGATATAAACAATATTCTTTAACTACTACTATTATTATTGTTTATATTTTAACTATTCTTCTTGTTGTTGTTGTTATATTGATATAAATATTTTCTGATATGTTTATGTTAGATACAGAGTATCGTGTATTGAGCCAGTTTGATTGAATAAAGCAGCATATGGGAAATGCAATTCCAGCTTGTAGCTTTCTTATTTTACTGTTTCACTTCTCACTAAAACGCTTTTATTAGAGAGAGGAATTAACAATAGTTTTTAACGCGCATCGATGAGAGGAGTGTGTTCAACACCTTTAAGCTCAGTAGTTCTGATTAAACAAACACTATCTGAGATATGTTCCCACATACCTATATTCTTTATGTTTTACTTCAAGCCTCTCGAACGATTTTCAGATTGTTTCAGAGTAACAAAATGTTAGTGCTAAGCAAATTAAAATTTTCAATTGTATCATGGGTGAATAAGGTGTTAATTAGAGCATTTAGGGAAAAATATTAATAAACAAACTAGGTTGTGACTTTTTCAACTGTTACTAATTTCTGATCATAGCAAGCTACCTACATAGACCAGTTAACCTATTAATAAATATTTGAAACACCTTTTTTATATAGATTACAATTCATTGGTTATAGTTGATGAACCTTGCCGTTAGCAATGTTTTCGACCACAATCCTAATAATATCTTACAAGTTCGGCCGGCTTAAGAGGTTTAGGATAGTCCTAATTTCATATAATAAGATAATAATGCAGAACAGCTTTCATAATAAAAATATATAATAAAACAGTTACAGAAAGTATGTGAGTTATCTTACTCTTTAGGAGTTCGACAAACCAGTTGTGTATTCTTATCGATAGTTTACACATTTTCTTCTTACCAGGTGAAAGTGTGGTTCCAAAACAGAAGAACGAAGTTCAAACGACAGAAGCAAGAGGAACAACAAACAAACAAACATCAGGAAGAATCACCTTCCAATAATAACACTGATGACGTCATTGTTACAGAAACAAATTCCCGAGATTCCACGGACTTGGATTTACAAAGCTCCTTTGCCCACGATCCTCCTTCCACTACGGCGCCTTCTTGATGATTTTACTTTCGCATGAATAATCCAAAACATCACCCCTGGGGGCGAAAAAACAAAACAAAATCTTTTCATAAATGCGCTGTGAATTCGGTACTTTATTTTAAAAGTTAGTTTTTCGGGCGTTTACAGTTGTGAACTAAGCTACAACGAACTACGATCAGTATATAGGTTTTCTAAAGGGCTTGCCAATAACTAGCCACTACGAACCTCGGAATGGTTGATCAGTTTTTGTTCTGCACTCATTTAATAGGCGTGAGTAGATGTGAGTAGGCGAAGAAAACACGAACAGTTGTAAAATCGGTGCACTTACATGTGTTTTTTACTAGATTATCATGTGAGTTTTATGGGAAAAACTTGTGTGAATTGTACAGTACATTCAGATAATTAACATAATATGTATTGTAATATTCAAAATTCTGAAGAGACGTCATCGTTTACAATAAGATAATTCCGTATCGTTTAATAGTTCAGCCTCTCATAAACTTGATCTTCTGTTGGCTGAGTATTAAAAACTAGAACAACGTGTATTTCTAGGGTAGACACGGCTGTGGTTTTCTGTCATATAAATCCAAACTGTTCATGTAAAATATAATAACGGTTTTTATTACTTTAATTAACTAAAATTCTTCAAACTAACATGATCAGTTGATTTTAATTCAATATAGCAACTCATATTCAACTAGCTGTTGTACCTGTTCGACACACAGGAAAGATATAAGGGTCCCCAGCAGGTGATTTAGGGGTGTCAGGTTCGAACGCTGACCCCCTATGTCACTCTTAGGGAGCCCTATTGTACATGAAAGGTTTGGGGACAACCAGTCTAGTTATAAACGGATGGATACATATACACAAACTTTTCTCAAATATTGGTTTAGTTACAAGAATAACTGCACAGCAACAAAAGTTTAAAACAATTAAGGAAAAGGGAAAATGTGGCTCGTATTATTAAAACCTCAGAACATCTTGATGTAATGATACTTGATCGTATTATTAACATCTGAAGACTGAAGATCTTGTGTAATGATGTTTATCGTATTGTTAAAACCTGAAGACTGAACACATTGCTGTAATGATATTAATCGTATTGTTAAAACCTGAAGACTGAACACATTGATGTAATGATATTAATTGTATTGTTAAAACCTGAAGGCTGAACATATTGATGTAATGATATTAATTATATTGTTAAAACCTAAAAACTGAACATATTGATGTAATGATAATAAACGTATTGTTAAAACCTGAAGACTGAACATATTGATGTAATGATAATAAACGTATTGTTAGAACCTGAAGACAGAACATATTGATGTAATGATAATAAGCGTATTGTTAAAACCTAAAAACTGAACATATTGATGTAATGATAATAAACGTATTGTTAAAACCTGAAGACTGAACATATTAATCGTATTGTTAAAACCTGAAGGCTGAATATATTGATGTAATGATATTAATTGTATTGTTAAAACCTAAAAACTGAACATATTGATGTAATGATATCAATCGTATTGTTAAAACTGAGGACTAAACATATTGATGTAATGATAATAAACGTATTGTTAAAACCTGAAGACTGAACATATTAATGTAATGATATTAATTATATTGTTAAAACCTAAAGACTGAACATATTGATGTAATGATATCAGTCGTATTGTTAAAACCTATATATTGTATATACTTCGGTATGCAGATATTATCAAACTTTAGAATTTTAGATAGAACGACATCTGATGTATTATCTTGGAAAAAGCCGAAGATCTCAATGCACAAAACGTATCTTAGTTATGGGGTAGGGAAACCATATAGTTAAATCTAGGATTGTTTTTAAAACTGAATACTGAAAGTCGAGTGTTAATTATTATAAATAAATATCATAATATTATAAATAACAGCATTGTTGTAAAAATAGGAATAATAAAGTAAAAATTTCTCTATACAATAGGACTGCAATATTCCGTACAATTATTAAATTTAATAATGTACGAGTGAAAGGACCTTCGGGAATTTGGCGAGTTTGCTCTTTACACGCTAAAGGTTCGTCATTAATGACTTTGTTCGGACTGAACATCGAGTGATGAAAAGTTGGAGTGGTGGTAAAACAAAGGAACATCAACGGCATGAAATGATATTAATTATACTTGTAATAAGATATTAGTACATTAGGCCTATTATATTTCTAAGCACTACATTCTTAATCTAGTATCTTAAGGATTTTCAAAAATTAGAATAGTGTATAATAATAGTATTCCAACTACACTATGTTTGACATATAGATTACTGACAACGCTCACTCCAGAGCTCTTCAAGCCGGCTGGAATACAACAAACGTATTGCTTGTAGGAGAAGTCTAACAATCGTTGTTTCTACGTCATAAAATGATATTGCTTGTCGGAAAAGCCTAGAAAACCTTCTTTAGAAATCGTGTTTCTACATAAAATGAGATCATTTATAGGAGAAGCGTAGTAATACGTCATTACAAATCACAGTTATAATTGAGTTTGAACACACTTCCAAAGTGGTAGTGTTTGGAGAAGCGGAAACTGTTTTTGAACAATTCATTCAGAACTACAACAACAACTTTTACAGCTGTGATTTTAATAATTATAATGTTTCAACCCAGAGTCATCATCATGTATGAAATTCCAATAAAGAAGGCAGTTGAATTCCAGAGAACCCCGCCTCCCAGTGGCACAGCGGTATGTCTGCGGACTTCCAACGCTAGAACCCGAGTAGGCAGAGTACATATAACCCATTGTGTAGCTTTGTGCTTAGCTTCAAAACAAACAAACCAGAGAACCTTACAGAACAATTTTGTAGGTGGCGTTAAATTAGCTTTTTTAGTAAAATGAGGGGAATGAGTTTATCAATAGTGATTTAGCTATTATTTTCTATTGATGATCTTCATATTGGTTTCAGTGATGATATATTCGGTTTCTTTGTTTGATGTTCCTCAATAAAACGTTACTATCATTGTATTTTTGAATTAATATTAGTTCGGTAGGTTCCTCACAAAGCATTGCTTTTAAATCAACTATAACTGTCCAGTCAATAACATTTGAATCAACTATTACTGTCCAGTCAATAACATTTGAATCAACTATAACTGTCCAGTCAATAACATCTGTTGTAGTCTGACTGCATTGCAGACCCCGTGTATGATATAGTACATCTGTTGTAGTCTGACCCGTATTACAGATCCCGTATATGATATAGTCCATCTAATGTAATCTGGCTGTATTACAGATCCCGTGTACGATATAGTACATCTGTTGTAATCTGACTGTATTACAGATCTCGTGTATGATATAGTACATCTGTTGTAATCTGGCTGCATTACAGATCCAGTGTATGATATAGTACATCTGTTGTAATCTGACTGTATTACAGACCCCGTGTATGATATAGTACATCTGTTGTAATCTGACTGTATTACAGACCCCGTGTATGATATAGTACATCTGTTGTAATCTGACTGTATTACAGATCCCGTGTATGATATAGTACATCTGTTGTAATCTGATTGTATTAAAGATCCAGTGTATGATATAATACATCTGTTGTAATCTGACTGTATTACATATCCTGTGAATGATATAGAACCTCCGCTGTAATCTGACTGTATTTCGTTTTCTGTAATCAAGAAAGTATTTTAAAGAGGAAGGAACAAAGGGTTTAGTCTATTTTTCTTTCGTTCTACACTTACAACTGACCCGACGTAACAGCGAGAATATTGAAAAACATTACAGGATACTTGTTATTTTACAGAATCGCTGCAGTGTTGACTGTGGTTTGTGAAATGTTGGCTAAAACTTAGTATGATTACAATTTAAACATCACGACTAACACTTAAAGACCCACAGAAAGAAGAAAGAGAGTTTTACATTAGCTTAATTCACGTCAAAATAGCTGTTAAATCCAGCAGAAAAGAATGTTATCATTTACCGTGAAGATCTTGGTTGGATTTGTTTCAGAATTTCGTGCAAAGTTCCACGTGGCCTATCTGCGTATAGCCATTTCTAATGCAGATGTGATGAATTAGATGAAAGGCAGCTAACCAAAAGACACTCATTGCCAACGCTTGAGCTACTCTTGTCTAATCGATTAGTGAGACTTGAACCACAGTCTTATAGCGCGCAAACGGCGCAAACATGCGAAACGCGTTTTTGCAGCAACGACGAACCGTTGGGAATCCTGGGATTCAAAGTCTGGACACGGGAGAACATGCCACGCCTTGTCCCCTTTATGTAGTACTTATGTTTGTTTATTTGTTATAAAGCACAAAAATATATAATAGGCTATTTGTGCTCTGCCTACAGCGAGTATCGTAACCAGATTTTAGCATTACAAGTCCACTGACTTACCAACGAGCAACCAGTAGTAATTCATCTCAATTGAAATGAAAGAAACTGACACACTGTATACTTTATGACCAAGATTATTCTAAGTTAAAGGAAAACAGGTATAGGGTTTTAAGACAGTAGTAGAAGTGTTCAAATTATTTGGTATGTCTTGCTTCATGTTCAGTACTTGTTGTCTTGGTTAAAGTTCTGTATTTGTTATGTCTTGGTTCAGGTTTTGTATTTGTTATGTCTTGCTTCAAGTTCAGTACTTGTTGTCTTGGTTAAAGTTTTGTATTTGTTATGTCTTGGTTCAGGTTCTGTATTTGTTATGTCTTGGTTCAGGTTCTGTATTTGTTATGTCTTGGTTCAGGTTTTGTATTTGTTATGTCTTGGTTCAGGTTCTGTATTTGTTATGTCTTGGTTCAGGTTTTGTATTTGTTATGTCTTGGTTCAGGTTTTGTATTTGTTATGTATTGGTTCAGGTTCTGTATTTGTTATGTCTTGGTTTAGGTTCCGTATTTGTTATGTCTTGGTTCAAGTTCCATATTTGTTATGTCTTGGTTCAAGTTCTGTATTTCGTATGTCTTGGTTCAGGTTCTGTATTTGGTATGTCTTGGTTAAAGTTCATTATTTGTTGTCTTGGTTCAAGTTCAGTATTTGTTGTCTTGGTTCAAGTTCAGTATTTGTTGTCTTGGTTCAGGTTCCATTTTGTCAGTATTCTGTATTACTTGCAACTAATTGTATTGTTTGAAATTGCCACATTTTGTTGTATGTTCAACTCTCCTAACCATTCCTATTTTTGTAAATATCTCTAATCGAGAAAATTTTCACAAATTCCTACATACATTACATTAAAACGTTCTTAAACTTTTAATTTATGAATAGATTTATAATTTAAAAAACAATTAGCTTCATTAAGCTAAAATACTAACGTTTCTATAGAGACACATTCAAATTAGAAACATAAATAAGTTATCTGGTTTGCCTGTATTTTCGCTTTTCCGCAAGTTTCATGCAATTCAACAAGATCGTTTCAGTGCTGTAAATTATGAGTCGGTTTGTTTTATTGTGCATAACATGAAGTGTTTCAGCTTTCTGCGTCTAGAGGGCCACTAACAAACGAAATGCATCAGCAGCGAACATGTTAACGAGTTATCTATAGCCGATCTTAGGGTTAAAGAGAGGTGTGGAAGAACCCCTCCGATCCTTGCTATTGTAGCGACCCCTAGGTTGCAAGCACCCAAGCCTTTCTGATAGGGGCCCACCTTAACCTCCTGCGAGGCCGTTTATCGTTCATTATCAGTTCAACGGTTCCTACTCCCAGACGATGCTATTAGACGAAACGAGACGAAAATTTAGGATACTTATATGAGCGTCAAGATCGGTTCGTCTAGATCGGCGTAGGCGAACTGATATTTACACGTTTGCAGGTGTGCACGTGAACCTCTTGGTGGGAGATTCTCGTGCACCACGCCGTAAGGAACTCGGCCGGTAGAATGTAAGTAACCTGCGAGTAGATTCGTTAGAATTAATGTACACACTACGGGGCGTGAGGCGTGTCCGTCTGGGGTATCTCATGCTGCTGAGCAAATATGGCCCCCACTTCCAGGGTTAATTGGTTAGACAAGTCAGAGAGAGATCCATTTTTCACCTCGCCGCTCACTTTATGTTGATATAGTGCACGTCCAGTCCAAAAATAAGGTTAGAACCTCCCACAAGGGTTAGAAGCAACGCCAATAACAGTTTCGGTCTTTAATACAGAAAATTTTAGACAAATTCAATTTCACGTCTTAAAAATAACAAGAGCTTCATGCTTCTCAGAAAGTTAAGTTTTGGTAATTGCATTTTATGGAACACGTGGATGGACTTTTTATTTCTGTCCCTGCGATGACTCTGTAGCGTCTGTTAACTATGAACAACCAACCCATTTAGCTTGTTAAACACTCATCGATTTGTTTTTTAACGATGAAAAACTCACTTATTTGGAATGTTAACCATGAACAACTCATCTATTTGGTATGTTAACCACGAACAACTTATATATTTGGTATGTTAACCGTTAACATCTCATCTATTTGGTATGTTAACCACGAACAACTTATATATTTGGTATGCTAGCCATTAACAACTCACCTATTTGGTATGCTAGCCATTAACAACTCACTTATTTGGA